ATTAGAAATTGACAGATTTCCTCCATTCTCTGTTCATAAAGGAGCCATATGTCTGTATAATAATGCAAATGTTATTAATAATATACAGATATTGAAACTTTATATCAGCTTCAACACAAACTTAAAATATATGTATTTATTGTTACTATTTCATCCATGTATGAAAAATCTGATACCGGTAAAGGTGTTCACAACACCTAAATCAAGAGTGAAACCTGACCAAAGTAAAGAACAAATCAGATATGAGTTTGAACTGGAGTTTCTCTTCTGAAATGATGTGTCTGGATTACAGCTAGAAAGAAAGCACTTGTTCTGATCTGATCTCTAAAATGTGTTTATCTTTAAAATAGTTCATACCCTGATTCCATGTTTGTATTCCACTAAACTTGTGAGGGCCCATAAGTGATGAGTGGTTTATGTGTTTCTGAATTCTTCTGCTCATAACAAACTTCCTCTTATATCAGGAACTTTACATGTTAGATGGAATGCTGAGGAATTTTTCACCAAACTATCCCATTTCTGAATGTTGACAACTTCCTAGTAGAGACAGTTGTCTACACTTTAGGACATTGTAAAATAAAGCAACCATGGAAGATGCCTCATATTATCACACACAAGGGTAAATCCATTCTAAATTGTTTTTGGGGGGGGTTAGAATAACTATAAATGGCCCCTCACTCTTCTGTTTATAACTATACATGTGTTTTTCTTCCTATAACTTGAAATATATGGGGTTGGTGAGTACACAGTGCTTACTTGCACAAAGTCCTGGTGTATGAAACTCTTCATAAGGTGGTATAATATGAATGCGTAATTAGCAGCATATTAATAAATAATAAACATAGAAACGGACAAAATTACAAACCTGTAATGACTTCAATAGAGACAATAACACTTTCTGTAGTGTCTTTTACCCGCTGTATTGTAAAATTATAAATCCCACCAGGAGTCAGATCTGTAATAGTGAAATGCCTCTGAGTTCTCAGGACAGTATATTCTTTTGTGAATGTATTATTTGACACAGATGCTTTATAATGTGTGAAGTTAGTGTTGCTCAGATTCCATGTGAATGTAGTAGATGAAGTATTTACCACTGTTGAGGTTAGGCCACATATTCCCAATGGTTCTATTTTTTAAAAAAAGAAGAAGAAGAATAGATTAGATATTGAAACATATCAAAATGCTTAGAAAGCTTACATCATTTGACAAACACACAAACAAGGTGTTTACACAATACACTGGATGTTTCTTTGCAGAAACTCTCAGTTGTGCTATTAAAACATGCATGTCTTGTCAGTCTGGCAATATAAACCCAGCAACAGATACCCAACAATGCATGATGGCCACTGAGGTTTGCTAGGCACAGTTTCATTCAGTGTATTGGCCCGTCCAAAATGTTTTATATAGACCTAATGTATATAGACCTAATGGAATCTCACAATCAGAATAATTAAATATAATTAATGTAAAAATGAAAGTTAAATAAGATCAATAATATTGGATGACTAGAATGTTATAACATTCGAGTTTGTCCAGACATTTTCATTTACCAGAACTCTTCTTCAGCTTAGATACTACAAGATATACATAATTTCTGGACGAAACAAAATATTCAAAATACTGCACGGAACTGTGGCTATTGTCTCTATCAGCAATCTGACTTGGAATAACGAGATAATTCAGTGTAAAAGAAAATATATTTAAGTATCAGGCTACAAGCATTCACCCTCTGCTCACAAAAGCCAGGTTGTAACTCCAGAGATGTCTCTGTTGCCTTTGGTGAAGCACACAGGCTAAGCAAAAGCATGGGAGCAGCCTAGCAATCTTTACATCCGCAGCACTCGAGATCAAATACTTCAGATTTACACTTAAGGCTCAGCCTGGAGAAATGAAGTGTTTCTGTACTTCCTTTGTCTCTATTTCTCTTCTTTCCCTGTTGCACACAATTCAAATTTGAAATAGATGGGGTGGAGTTATGGGTTGCAGGATGATCAAACCATAGCTTGACTATGAAGGAAACTATGGTTGTTTTAAATCAGGTTCAATTGGCAGGGAATTGCTCCATGTGAACAAAAAAAGAAAGCAAAGAGAGGAAGATGGAAAGGAACAACATAAAATTCATTCAGATTTATGCCGGAGCACCAAATTATTCTTTAGAATGAAGCCTATAGCATAGGCATTGTGTGCCCATGGGTGAGTTCTTGACCAAAATCCTTTCCCTTGGTGTAATGAATCAAGGGAGATTTGGTGACTCAATTGTAATTCCATTTATTCACATGGGCCTACTCTAACTGTGACTTTAATAAGGTGCAGTTATAGCAGGCTCATTCAAGTTGATTTTCTAAATCTCCATTGATTCAATGGGCCCACTCTACTGCAGTTCACTACACTAAGCTACAGGGTCTTGGCTGTTGTCTTTCATGCCCTGTTTAACCCTCTGACAGATAAAAGTAATAAAGATATTAAAATATATGTACAGTAATGTCACAGAAAGGTACAATGTCAGAGATTCACTAAGATTAATTGACTAACTGAGATTGACTAATGAAAACTTTGTACCACTTAGTTTCAACAATAGCATTTAATATACTTGAGCTTGTGTTTTATTTATTTATCACCAAATTCTGACTGTAAAATTATATTGCAAGCCTGGGATCAGATTAGCAAATGGTGGACAATTAGTTGTTTGTTGACATAAAATGACAGATTCAACTGGACAGCAGCCAAGGAAAATCATCGCTGCATATGCATTGGCTGGACAAAGTGATTCACCAGTTTTCTCTTTCGGTAGCATCCACTGACACTACATTTAATTGCCCACAAGGATGCTCAGATTTCAGGAGCAACTTTTGGAAACCCAGGAGAGGCTATAGGAAAAGAATACTGTATTTGGAAATATTTTGATCCATGCACATAACCCTTAGCCAGCACTGATGGAATTATAAGGCTAAAAGAGAACATTTGGAGCTATCTATTTTAATTGAAAGATGCAGAGCAAGGAAGTAACAAATTACAATATAGTTTTTTTTGTAATGAAAGTATAACAGACTTATATTTCAAAAGTAATGAAGCAATATATAGTAGAATGATACTACAAGCATTGTTTCATTATACTTTCTATTTACTTTTCTGAGTTAATTTGTAAGGTTTTTTTAAGCAATATTGTGTGGATTTTTTCAAGTGTTAAGCCATTCCATTACAAAGCCTAAAACTATTTTCAACCACATAGAAAAATGAAGTAACAAAAAGAGAATAAAAAGCAGTGAGCAATGCACCTACTTCTGATACACTATATCTTTGGAAAAAAAACATTGAAAATTTTTAGGTTTTCAGCAAATGAATGACTTTTTCAAAGTAACGCTCTAAGCTCCTGGAGAGTACTCAGTGGAATACAGGCCATTTACCTTGCAGTGAGTGTACATTTTAGCACTTTTAACTGGAATTTTTTCATATATACATTTAGGCTTTGCTCCTGAATGGCTGAGTCTTAGGAAATTGCCTAAATAAATTTGTCCCAGGCCTATGGCTTAATGGAATTAACTGTAATAAAAGTTTGACTAAAGCATTCTGCTAACTAACAGACATTACAGGAATTCAATTCTAAACAAAGTACATTTTCTCAGAATTAAAATGAAGATGGTTGTTGTGGGTTTTCCGGGCTGCTTGGCCACGTTCTTAGTTTTTCTTTCTAACATTTCGCCAGTCTCTGTGGCCAGCATCTTCAGAGGACAGGAGTCAGAACTCTGTCTGTGCTCTGGTGCAGTTTGTTGGATAGTTAAGTATTTATAGCTGTGGGATCAGCTTTTGTCCTTTTCAGGAGATTCGGTGATTATGGTGATCAACGTGTTTTTTGTTGTGGGTGTATTGCTGTGATAAGGGGGAGAGAGGTACCCATAAACAGTTCAACACAGAACAGAACTGTAGGCAGCCTACATATGTAACCATAGTCTAATTTAATTTCAATATTCTACTCTACATTGTCTAAATACATGCATTTGTTATTTAAAGATCAAAGAAATAAGTTACAAATAATTTATCAGTTACTTGTAGTGACTCTTTTCTCCACAGCCTCACTGAAATCTTCTCCTTTAATTGTCTTTACTTGAAAGATGTACTCTACACCAGGCATCAGATTTCTTACTACTGCCCTGTTAGTAGCAATAGTAGTTGTATGAAGAATATTGTGGCCTTCTGCCAGGCCATAAGAAAGCTAGAGAAGAAAGACATATTTCCAAGTCATATGTTTTGTATCACTTTAAATACTATCAAAGGAGTCTGTTGTCAAATGAGCAGAATACACACATCCACACACACAGCAAAGAGTGCACATTTGGTAACAGGTTGGATCCAAAATCTGTACATGGAAGGCGAATAGTAAGTGGCATTTGCTCAAGAGATTGTACAAACATTCATGTACTGCTACCAGAGGTAGCTCTTGTATAAGTATAGCAGGTTTCTTACCAAGTCAGATGGCATATTTGGATTTTGCTTCATTTTTCTTTTATAGAAAATAGCTTCTGCACATAAGTAAACATCATTGCATCCAGTCAATAGCAACCAGGCTAACCCGCACAGACAATGAATCTGCCAGGTTTGAGGGATACTTAGGAGGCAGTGTATCCTTTGGGTGGCTGCCCCAAATATCAACCAGGCCATGCCACAACTACCATAGTTTTATCTTTTGCCCAGTCTTCCATTGGTGCCTCCCCATGTCCTCCTCCTTGTCTCATTGCCCTCTCCCTTCTCTCAAACTGTCTGATGATTTCCCCACTGCTTCAGCGATCAGGAAGTACCAAGAGCCAGATCGTCTTCTCATTTTTAGCATGTAGTCAGGCAGGAGCTCTGTGAGAACTTGACTTCATAGAGTACTTTGGGGGAATAAAGATGGTAGACGCAGCTGGAGCTCAGCAGTAGGAGCCATGCCATGTAATTGCCCACGTAAATCTTTACAAAGTGGTTTTGCGTTGCTTTCTTTTAGTGTTAGTTCTGAGGATGTGATGTGGTGACAGGCATCCCTGCTGCAATGGGGTAAGATTGTTTGCTGACACCCTCTCATGCATGTGCAACCCTTTCTCCTTTCAGAACTAATTGGGGTCCATGGAGCAGCAAGGCCTTGGATATGCACTGCAAAGGTTAGGTCCTGTAACAGCCGTTGTGCACATGCAATGACTTAGTAGTGTACAGCATCAGGATGCATGAACTTATTTTTCACCTTTAGTTTTTATGTTGATTTTTTTTTGTACTGAAGATCAAAATGCAGACCTCCTATATGAATGATGGTGCTTCCTTAACCATTGCATTTCTGTATTATAACGTTGGGAAGTTCAAGTATATAATTGAGTTCCTCCACAATATAAAACACCTGGTGCTCAAGAAAAACGCATCTGTCATGTTTGAAGGAGCATTGTCAAATACTTTAACCGTGTAAGGTTAGACAGGAGAAACCAGATAAGAAAATGAAATTACATCTATAGAGGTGAAGAATTTCTAGCAGAATTTCCAAGAACTTCTGAGATCTGTCCATATAGATCTCTGTATATAGATTGTCTTAACTTAGATTTTTGTATAATAATTACTCCTGCAAATTATAACTAATTACAAAGCATTAAACTGCAGAAAGTGAGAGGGAAACAAATTACTAAATCACTTTTTATTGTTTTCACACCATCAATTCCTAAGCATATAATGAAAATTGGATGAACTGAAATGATTAATTTTAAATGACTGGTGAAATGATCCTATTTGTGCAGGTGCACTTTGCTAAGCAACCACTCTTCTAAAGCCTCCCTCATTAATATTTTACATCTTAATCTCTTTTACTTCAAAAGAACACAGCCTAGCTAAGTTTTTTGCTCCATGGTTCGTCAGACAATAACATTATGTCATTATGATTAATATTACATGACGCGTTTTTCCATAACGCATTAAAAATCCTTAAAGTACTGTTTCAAGACTTATTTCTGTGTGTGCATGCAAAATACAAACACACACTGAATAATATTCTGTCGGAGTCGTTACAGTGGTGTTGACCAGAAATAATGAACTGAAATTAATTGAAAGCTTCCTACCCCACCTTTCAGGATCCAAGGCTCCCTTAGGCTCTCCAAGGCTTGCCCTGGAGAAGCC